TTGGTCAACACAAGGTATAATAAATTGAGTTTTTATTGGTTAGGAAATATCTGAAACATTAAAAAAATTCCTAGGGCCCACAAGGCAATGGGGGTGATTTTTTTAGTTTAGTAAGCCCAGTAGCCAGACACATGAAGGATAAAGGAAGTGTGCAAATATATACAATGGAATGTTGTTCTACCATAAAAAGAATAAAATTCTATCATTTGTAGCAATATAGATATAGCCAGAGGGTATTATGTTAAGCTGAATAAGCCCACAAAGAACTTTCCTGCCCAGTATAGATAGCTTTGAATGAAGATCTTCAGATTTCAGCTTCCCAAGTAGCTTGGATTAAAGGTGTGAGCCAAAGGTGTCTAGCTGCAAAGGCTACCTTTGAGATAAGGTTTCAGTTTCTCCTGGGGATGGCCTGAATCATGATTCTCCTATTTATATGCTTCCTTCTGTAGCTGGGATGTCAGGCATGTACTAATCATTCCCATTTTATTTCTGTATTTCTGTATTTCTTTATTGAGAAAATACAGAGGGGTTACAATTACATAGGCAAGATAATGAGTACATTTCTTATCAAGCATTGTAGCTTCCTCCTTTGTTTCCCCTCCCATCCCTTCCCATCCCTTCCCATCTTCCCCCTACCCCTCCACCCAATCTCCCCCCCCCCCCCACCCCCGCCCCTGGCACCAAAGGTGTAAAGTTCATTTTCAACAATTGTTGCAATGGGTCCACCTGTATCCCGATTTGTTTTTTTTCCTTCCTCTCCACAAATTATACCAACATCAAATACAGTGAAAGCAGGGGTTATACGGTAGGGGAGGGACATACAAAGCAACAAAGAAATAATCTTATAAATGTGTTAGAAACAATTGCATGAAAGAAAAAAACATTTGAATACATACCTTAGGATTCATTTCCCTAACATCAACTTATCTGACCTTTTCTGCTTGACTCAGGCATATACTAGTTATTGCAAATAAGGGAAACCATGGGACCTATGTTTCTTTGGGCCTGGCTTACTTCACTTAATATAATTTTTTCCAAGCCTTTCCATTTCCTAACAAATGGGGCAATGTCATTCTTTCTGATGGAGGCATAGAATTCCATTGTGTATATATACCACATTTTCTTGATCCATTCATCTACTGCGGGGCATCTGGGATGGTTCCATATCTTAGCTATGGGGTAAATAATGCTGCGATAAACATAGTTGTGCTGGTAGCTTTAGTGTGGTCTTGTTTGTAAACATTTGGGTAAATGCCCAAAAGTGGGATTGCTGGGTCATAGGAGAGCTCTATGTGGAGTCTTATCATTCCCATTTTTGTTGACATGAATTCTCACTGGCCCGGTATAGATGGGATAACAGGTATGTACTACATTCAGCTATTGTTTGCATCTTGGGTAGTTACAGAAATGAACCAGTATGGGGCTGGGAAGGTAGCTCAGCAGTAGAGTGCATGCCTTGCAAGCATGAGGCCCTGGGTTCGATTCCTCAGCACCACATAAACAGAAAAAGCCGGAAGTGGCGCTGTGGCTCCAGTGGTAGAGCGCTAGCCTTGAGCTGAAGAGCTGAGGGCCAGCACCCAAGCCTAGAGTTCAGGCCCCATGACCGGCAAAAAAAAAAAAAAAGAATTGAACCAGTATGCCTAAAGAGATTTTGAATGTTTACATTGCAAATAAATAAATGTCTGAGATGACAGATGTGCTAACCACCTAGATCTGATCAATACATGTATTTCATACATGTACTGAAATGTCACACTGTACCCCACAAATACATGTAATTATTATGTTTCAAGGAATAGGAAAAAGAGATAAAAGGTCTTGTTTTATGAATCCTCAAAACAATAACTTCACTAAATAGAAATGCAAAACTTACTTTTGTATTCCATGATGAAATTAACCAAAAAAAGACACATTAATTGAAATTTTTTATTAAAATACTTCTTTATGAGTACAACTAGGGGGAAAATACAGTTTTATATGCTGCAGATCACGTAAAATACAATAAAACATATGTTATTGGGAATGTAGAACAGATTTTAAAAACTCCAAAGATGATTTCATGAAAACAAAAATTTTAAATATAGCTAATTTAAAATTACCTTATTTTTCAGAAAAGTTTTTCTTTTCTCCATTTTGAGGTTATTCTGACTTATAAATATACTGTTCAAATATTCTATCCTATCAATGTTGTTTTCTGGAGCTTTGTAAATCACATTTCTATGTGAAGAATTCTTTCATATCTTTTGTAAAACTAACAACCAAATATCAGATTTTTTAAAAATTTGGTACTACAATTACAAGTAACAACCTGAATTCCTCCCTCCCTCCCATCATTTTTTTTCTTCCTTCCTTCCTTCCTTCCTTCCTTCCTTCCTTCCTTCCTTCCTTCCTTCCTTCCTTCCTTCCTTCCTTCCTTCCTTCTTTCCTTCCTTCCTTCCTTCCTTTTTTTTTCCTTTTGTTCTGGTACCAGGGTTTAAACTCAGGGGCTTCCATTTGCTTGGCTAGTTTGTTGTTGTTGTTGTTTAAGTCACTTGAGCCATGCTTCCAGTCCAGAGTTTTCTGGTTATTTTTGGAGATGAAGTCTCATGGATTTTTTTCTGCTTGGGCTAGCTTTAAACTTGTTTTCCAGGTTTCTTGAGTAACTGGGATTATAGGCTTGAGACACAGGCAGTTGGCTACAAGGTAATTTTTTTTTTTTGTTGGTTGTGGGGCTTGAACTCTGGGCCTGGGCACTGTCCCTCAGCTCTTCAGCTCAAGGCGATTGCTCTACCACTTGAGGCTCAGCACCACTTCCCGTTTTCTGGTGGTTTACTAGAGAGAAGAGTCTCATAGGCTTTCCTGCCTGGGCTGATTTTGAACTGTGGTCCTCAGATCTCAGCCTCCTGAGTGAGCCTCAGGAGTGAGCCATCGCCAATCGGCTTACAAGCTTCAATTACAGAAGCAAATATGCCAGAATGATGAAGAAGGTCTAAATTTTAGTGAAGTTATTGGCTTCTGAAATGTACTTTCAATTTGGAAAAAATATTCTTATTCAAAATCTTGAATGCATTACAGAACTGTAAGTGGAATATTTTAAGTAATCTCTTGTCTTTTTCTAAAGCCTTTGTTAGACCAGCAGAAATAAACAGAATTCAAATATGAAAGATATTATCCCAATGGGAGTAATTTCTAATAGAAGAAATAGAGGTATGAAAAAATCAATTAAAGCAATATGATTTAAGAAATTATTCACTAAGCCTGGTACCAGTAGCTCACATCTTTAATCCTAGCTACTCAGGAGGCTGAGACCTGAGGATTACAATTTATTTACTTTTTTGTTTTTTTTACAAAATTTTATTGTAAAGGTGATGCGCAGAGAGGTTACAGTTACGTAAGTAAGATGAGTACATTTCTTTTTGAACAGTGTTACCTCCTCCCTCATCTTCTTCCACTTTGCTCCCCCACTCCTCTGCCCCCCAAGTTGTAAAGTTCATTTCTAACATACTGTTGCATTGGTTCACCCTTTGCCCCACCATTTTTATGATTCCCTTTCCCTCCCTGAAATCAGAAAAACTTATATACAAGACAAAGGGTGCAGAAACCAAAAATAGTGACAACAGGGAATAAACCAAAGGGGGGGGAAGAAAGAAAAAAAGAAATACCTGAAAATAGTACAGTAAAAAACTCTCTTGTTTTCATTTCTTGGAGCTCACTTCAATAAGTATAATTTTATATGTTCATATTCACATAGCTACTGAACAATTGTGAGGATCACAATTTAAAGTCAGTCCAAGCAGGAAAGTTCTTGAAACTTTTCTCCAGTTAACCACAGGAAAAACAAAAAGCTCTAAGTGGAGTTGTGACTCAAGCAGTAGAATACTACCCTTGAGCAAAAAAGCTCAGTGACAGCATCCAGGTCTATCTCTCACTCCCCCCGCCCCCCCCCCCCCAAAAAAAATCATGGAGAAATGTAGGGAGTGGGAAAAAGACACTGTATTTAAATTTTTAAGGTGATCACAAATGTAGTTAAAATGTTATTAAGAAAACACACACCATGTTGCTAGTAAACACAGAAATATTCCTCTAGTCATGAGTGTGACATCACTTGTTAATGAGCAAAACAAATGAAAAAGCTAGTTGCAGATTCCTTTATTTAAAAAGAATTCTCAAGTTCAAGAAAACCTTCCACATGATGGGTGCTAATGATAAAGGGAGCTAAAATGTTTCAGGTCCTTTTAAACAAATATCCTTTAGGTAAAAAAATTAAGCAAGGACATGCTAATGTCTAAGTATCAATTATATCCATGAGCTAACTCAGCCTCTTAAAAGACCGAAGTAGGCCGGGTGCTGGTGGCTCACGCCTGTAATCCTAGCTACTCAGAAGGCTGAGATCTGAGGATCCTGGTTCAAAGCCAGCCCTGGCAGGAAAGTCCGTGAGCCTCTTATCTCCAATAAACCACCAGAAAACCAGAAGTGGTCCTGTGGCTCATGTGGTAGAGCACTTGCCTTGCACTGAAGAGCTGAAGGTCAGCGCCCAGGCCCAGAGTTCAAGCCCCACGACCAATTTATAAAAAAGAAAAAAGGCTGAAGTACTTTGATATTTATTAGAATTATTGGAAAGAGCAAGAAGGATATCAGGGCTTTAATTTTTATAACAGTTAATTATAGTGTTACAAATGATCTTACAACTAGTGTTCAAATGATGAATACACAAATGTATCCAAAAGCATTATCTATTTTTATATCTAAAATATGCACTATAAAGAAGTTCTAAAAAATTACTTGTAATTTACATATGTCCTAGAAACACTGGCAATCCATAAAACTATCTGTATAATAGAGATATTACTGTCTTAGATTCACTCTTGAAGGTGGGGTTTTATTCCTATAAAGGGCATATAGCACTTCAGCTTATTTCTGATGAAACATTGTAACAAAAGCTGATTACATAGTTCTGTAGTATATTTTGAATGAAGATCATTCTAGTTTCCCAGTATAATGATACATATTTAAAACAAATATCATATCCAGATAGAAATTTACTAAATGAAAAATTACAAAATGACCAAAACAATTAACATAAATAGTTGTAAGTTGTTCCTTTTACAGCTCCCGGCATTTTCACTCTAGTTGACACATACATCTTCAGTTTCCCTCTGATCACACACTGTCTACAGAACCAGGCACCAACTTGTTAATGCTGGGCCAGTTTCTTCCCCCAGTACATCTTCACCCTTTAGCTATGCTGCTCCCTATAGGACTATAAGTTCTTCCCTTGGGACCTATGTGGAATCCAATTTGGCAGTCATTCCCCAGCTCTACTGCTCTTAAAGCTGGCATCTTAGTTCAAACACATGCCTCACTTGGCTACTCACCTAATCTCACATGTATTTAGTGTAGCTTCAAAGGCGTAATATACCCTGAAATTCATTCAGAAATGACTCTATATCAGCACTTCAGGAAGGGAATGGAAGAAAATGACAAATTTTCAGTAAAGCACTGTCAGCGTATGTATTATGGGATAGCTCCTACTACATAAGCTTTTTCTAAAATTTTAAACATAGTAAGCTTTTACTTTTTAAAACCAATGTAAAGATGTTTAAGCTTCTTATGGTAATTTTTATGTGAATTGTCACAGTAATGATACCTGAATATCTACTATACTTATAAAATAAACACTACAAGGCACCAATGAAGAATGACATATTCAATAGCAGGCGAGGAAATCTTAGCTCATATTAACAGTTTTCTGCTATAATTTTCAAAACAGAAAGCTTTTGTGTACTGAAGAAAAGATCAAGGCTTTATGTTAAAAACTCAGATCTTTTAGGAATTCTCTGTGTACCTGTTGCTCTTATGACCAAAGTTTTACATGTATCCAAAGGTAAAGATATGTTACTAGTGGGCAATAAACCGAACAAGAGCAGCTATAATCATGTAACTGAAGACATCCTTGGATATATTATACTTTAAAGGTAACTCATTCCAAATTCTTTACATTTTCATAACCTGTTGTCATTCTGATGCGAGTAGATTCTCTCTTTCATACTTATACCTCTCTTTCTGACTAAGTTGCTTCATACTTACATTTCTTTTCCTTCTTTAAAACATACAGTTCATACATTTGACTGTCTTACTACCATAGTCAATACATTCTGGACCAATGCACTCACAGCAGGCGTTATGAAACCACCGATATTTGGATGCTCCCATGGACTCACAGGATATTTTACACTGATGTATGGACATGCAGTCATCAAAATAAACCACTGTACACATGTGCTCTGAAAAACAAAAATTAAGATTTCAACAGGAGAAAACAACAAGGACAAAAAAGTCCAGGAAATGTTTAGCTACCCAGTTGAATATTATTAACAGTTATTTATCTTAGTTCTCTTATTGCAGTGGATAGAGATGCGGTATAGGAAAAAAGATACTCATTTGGCCAGGTACTGATGGCTCAAACCTATAATCCTAGCTACTTAGGAGGCTGAGATCTGAGGATCACAGTTCAAAGTCAGCCTGGGCAAAGAAGTCCCTGTGAGACTCTTGTCTCTAATTAACCATTCAGAAACTAGAAGTGGAGCTGTGGCTCAGAGTGGTAAAGTGCTAGCTTTGAGCAAAAAGAGCTCAGGGACAGCACCTAGTCCCTGAGTTCAAGCCCCACAATTGACAAGAAAAAAAAAAGATACTCATTTGTTAATTATATTGAGAGTTCTTCCAGTTCAAATAAAGAAGACAAAGTGCTTCCTTAGACTGTTCTATCCGATTTCATACTTTGACCTAATTATTTGGCATAAAAACTACCTACTAAGTTAGGCATTTCTAATAAGGTTTCCTATGCACAGATAATTCTTTAGCCAAAAGATGCTTAAAAAGTACTGTTCTAAGTGTAAGGTCCACCCTGGGAAGGCAAGGCAGACTCCTTCCTTCTCTTGGCTAAGTCTCTGTGTACCTGTGACACCAAGGTACCTGGCACATCTGGAGGTCACATCCTGGGCCACCCCATCATGCCTCCCATCAGACCGGGGGAGGGTCCCAGGCCCTGAGGTCATATCTGAATCTAGTATGGCCACACCTTCCCTCCCTGCTTAAACCAGGCCCGACCTTGGCCTGCCCCTTTTGGTCATGCCTCTCTATCATGCATGCTGGGGACAAACAGTTTGGTAAAATAAACTTCTCTTCCTGTCTGAATACTATGTGTGTTCTCTTTATCGGCTACCTAATTACTACCTCACTAATTACCTAACATTAAGCTTTTTTGTTTGTTTGTTTTTTTTGGGGGGGGGATCTGGTCGTGGGGCCTGAACTCTGGGCCTGGGCGCTGTCCCTCAGCTCTTCAGCTCAAGGCTACCACTCTACCACTTGAGCCACAGTGCCGCTTCCGGCTTTTTTCTTTTTGCTTATGTGGTGCTGAGGAATCGAACCCAGGGCCTCAGGCATGCAAAGCAAGCACTCTACCACTGAGCCACCTTCCCAGCCCCCTAACACTAAGCTTATACTGAGAATTGACACTAAAACAAAACAACTTACGTTTGAAATGATGCAAAGTGATTGACAATACACATTAATCATTAAAAATTATTTGTAGATATGGATGCTAGTGGCTCATGCCTGTTATCCTAGCTATTCAGAAGGCAGAGATCTGAAGATCACTGAAGCCAGCCTGGACAGGAAAGTCCATGAGACTCTTATCACAAATTAATCACCAGAAAACTTGAAGCAGAGTTGTGGTTCAAAGTGGTAAAGCACTAGGTTGAGTGAAAAAGCTCAGGGACAGCACCTAAGCCCTGAGTTCAAGCCTTATAACAGACACAAAAAAAAAAGAAGAGAAAAAATTCTTTGTGTGAGGCCAGGTGCAGTGACTCAAGCATATGATCCCACCTACTTGGGAAGCAGAGAGAGGAGTGTCAAGGTTTGGGGCCAGTCTGGGGCAAAACAGTAAGACCTTATCTTAAAGAACAAACCTGAGTATAGTGACATATGCCAGTAATACAAGTTATGCAGAAGGTATATGTAGGAGGATTGTAGTCTGAGGCTGACCTATACAAAAAGTAAAATACTCTACCTGAAAAATAACTAAAGCAAAAAGGGCTGGATGTGTAGTTCAAATGGTGGAGTGCTTGCCAAGCAAGTGTGAGACCCTGAGTTCAGCTACCTCACTTCTGACAAAAAAAGAGAAGAGATAATATTTATAATGATTTTGTTTTAAACAAAATAATCACTTTTCATTATTTCTTTTTTATTTTTGGTGCTGGTACGGGAGCTTGAACTCAGGACTTGGGTACTGTCCCTTAGCATTTTCCATTCTACCTCTTGAGCCACTTCTCAATTCCAGGTTTTTGCTGGATAATTTGTGGTAGAGTGTCTCACAGAGTTTCCTGCTCAGGCTGGCTCTGAATGGAGATCCTTAGATCTCAGCCTCCTTAGTAGCTAGGATTATAGGCCTGAAGCACTGATGCTCAGCTTATTACTTCAATTTTTAATTCTCCTGATGGCTAAACCAGTATAACCACCCAGCTAGAAGTATAAAGCACATGAAATAAGTGCCAATAAAAAATCATCAACAGAGAATATATAAGCAAAGACTCAGTTGTTTATCCAGAACCACTTATACAACTAATGAATCTCCCTGGTATCTGAGGAAAGGCTTATCAGAGAAAGCAGACATGTATTAGAAACAATGAAAAGCAAATCTTCCAGGCAACAAATGAGCAGTGCCAGAAGGAGGTAATTGTATTGTGTGTTTAGGAACTAGATAGAAGCAAGCCCAACTAAGAAAATGTCAGGACTACTATTTGGGAGGAAATCTGGGGTTGTGTGCGCAGGACATTGAGGAAAAAGGATCTTGAATTTGAGGGCAGTCTGGACCTTACAGTTTCCAGTAAGATGTTGTTTCAAAGAAATAAATGCATTTTTTAAAAAGGCTGATTATGGTGGTCTACAGGAGTATGGTAGTTTTGTATGAGGACAGACTAGGCAAAGTTAGCACAAGACTCTATCTGAAAATTAAGAACTGGGAGAATGGCACTTGTCTAGGAAGAAAAAAAGACATTGAGAGGTAGCATAGCACCAGAGCAGGCAAAAACAAAGAGACTGGCAGTGAACAAAGTGGACATGTTTGAATTTGCGAGTGACTGGAACTACTAATCTATTTCATATATTATTTACTTTGTACCTAGAATGGGATAGCCATTATGGACTCAAAGAGTAGTCAAGAAATCCAAGGAACTAAGTAGAAAATAGGTAAGATGGAACTACAAACACATGGAGGAGGAGGGAGTGGCTGTTCCTATCTGGAGAAAGATACACATAGGTAAGGGGGCATGAAGGAAAAATGGGCTGTCGTAAAAGATGCTTGCATTTGCAGGAATTAGTTTCCTATAAAGTATTTTGCCTTCAAAGGTAATATTCTCCTCCTCCCTTCCCCCCCAACCATGGTACTGGAGGTTGAACTCAGGGATTCACTTGAGCCATGCCTTCATCCTAAGAATTACTCTATCATTTAACAAAAGCCTATTTTGAGGCAGCACTTGTAGGTCCTATTAATCCCAGCAACACAGGAGGCTGTTTGAGGCTAATGCAGCAAAAAAGCAGGGGTAGAGCTGTGGTTCAAGTAGTAGTTCACCAAATAAGCAAGCAAATAAAAACCTCTGAGGAGTTCAAACCCTGGTATAGTGGAGGAAAAGCCTGTTTTGCTTTCATTATTAATTCCAAAGCTGTATTCTTTTTCATATAGTTAGTACTGTAAGAGAGGGTACAACTAGACAAAGAAAAATATAAATTATCCTATTGATACATCATAATCTTATGCTTTTTCCTTCAGAACTCAAGTTTGAACTCAAGGCCTCACACTTGGTAGGCAGGTGTTCTATCTCTAAGTCACACCTCTAGTCCCTTTTTGCATTGGTAAATTTATTGTGTGTGTTGGTTCTGGGACTCGAACTTAAGGCTTGAGTGTTGTTCCTGAGTTTTTTGCTCAAGGCTAGCACTATACCACTTGAGTCATAGCTCTACTTTCAGTGTTTTGCTAGTTAATTGGAGATAAGAGTCTCATAGATTTTCCTGCTGGGCTGGCTTTGAACTATACCCCTCCATAGCTAGGATTATAGGCCTGAGCACTATCTACAATGAAAATAACAAAAAGCTCAAAGTAGAGAGGTGGCTTAATTGGCAGAGTGATAACCTTGAGCAAAAGAAGCTCAGAGATGGCTCAGGCACTTAGTTCAAGCCCTAGGAATGGCAAACACACACAAACAATTTTAGCTGATAACTGTAGCACCATTTGCAGCATCAATGCTATTATAAAAACCTGACTTCATGGGACACTGGGATGGCTGCTTTAGGTAAGGAGCATGAATACCATCTTATGAAAAGAAAAGAATTAAGAATAGTCACCTATTTTGCCAACAAAGCCTCCAGAGGTATGGAGGAGTTTTGCTGACATGCTGAAAAGCCCCATCTACTCAGGGTCATAGAAATCTAGAATCTATATAAAACTACAGTTTAAAACCAAAAAGTGGTTCCAGAAAATAATAAGATTTCATACATTATCATAGAACCAATGAGAGGCCCAAACAGGAAGACAGCTCTAGCAGGTACCTTTATCACTGGAATAAGGTGCATGAACATTATTGCTAGGAACAGACACATTTTGATGATGAGGCTGGTTCACAGTTTCCAAGAATGAAACCAGATTCTCATGATGTGAAAGTTCTTCTGCAACAGGGAAAGAAACGATGTTCCAATTCAACTGGGTGTCTCCTTCTGTGAGTGCCCGGAAAAGGGATGGGATAGGCTCATGCAGCTCCTCTACTGTGCTCTTTGAAGTGGGAGGAGTGTCACTGTAATTTCGAGGATTGCACATACCTGGAAGAGGCAAAGAGAATAAAAGTCTATCTTACTGACTGTGACATCTGGGTCTTGTTACTGCTAAGCCATGAAAACTCCACATATTAAAAGTTCTGTGACTTCTAACATTGTATGTAGTTTGTTTTGTTTGTATTTTTTTCCTGAAATGGCCTGATGATACTTACTCAAATAGCTTTGAGCAAACTGAAAACCCAGACCCTGTAAACTCCTTGGAGAAATGAGTAATTTCAGAGCTGGAGCAGCACAAGTATACAGTGAGCCAGAAACAGAAAGCAAAGAAGTGCTGAATGAATAAAAGATACAACAGTCATTCAGAAGGGGCTCCCACGGACTAAATAGATGATAACATTAGATTACTTACTACCTTGTGAATCGGCAGGATTTTTGTGGGTATCTCTATTATTGAAAAAGTGAGCAAGTGGAAGACAAGAAGAAGTTCGTCTGTATTAGCTGATAAAGGTACAAAGACTGAAGGAAACAGCAAAGTACCATTTGGCACCATCACAAAGGCTTTTGATAATATCCACTGACAAATTCATCCATGGATGCTAAGGGTAGAGGGTGAATTTTGATGAAGAATATATTGGTGTCACCTTAGAGAACTCCACAAAGTACTTGTTGACTTGTATGTGGACAAGAAATCCTGTACCTATAAGTATGATTACACTACTAGTGATAGGATAGGTTGGATGCTGTGTGTCACCACAGACAGGTATCTAGTGTCATTTTGGTGATAGTGTTGCCCAGAATGTGTGCTTTTAAGTCTGGTTATTAGTAAAGATCCATCTAGTAGACAGAGATTGTGGGCTACCCGTTACAATGAAATGCCTGAACTCTAAAACCGTCAAGGGAAAAATTATGGGAAAAGTCCAAAGTACATGACTGAAGAGACATGACAACTCATCACATAATCCTAGACAGTATCTTGAACCAAAAAAAAAAGAAGTGTTGAGAGAGCTAGAGAAATCTGAATGGTGTTTCCATTTTTTTTTTTTTTTGTGGCAATGCTGGCTTTTTAATTGGGAGGGATGTATGATAGTTGGTAGAATGTGTTGTTGGAAAATTCAGACTGAACTTCAGACTAAAACCTGCTTTGCTCTACAGAGTGTATGTAAAACGTAACTGCAAGTGTATACACAGGAAGAATAGAACAAGGGAGACTGAGCAATAGAGCAACTCAGTAAAAAATGTTACTAAAGGAATCCCTTTTACCCTTGTGGCAAGTTTCTTCTAGTTTTGAATTTATTTCAAAATGAGTTAAAAATTTAAAAGAATATGACTAGAGAGAATTGGCAACTGAATTGGTAGTTGAAAAACTCTACTGGGCCTAGCTATTATTATGTCTAAAATCTTTTGTAACATTCTTTTTTTTGGGGGGGGGTTCTGGTCGTGGGGCCTAAACTCTGGGCCTGGGCGCTGTCCCTCAGCTCTTCAGCTCAAGGCTAGCGCTCTATCACTTGAGCCACAGCGCCATTTCCAGCTTTTTTTTCCTTTTTTTGCTTATGTGGTGCTGAGGAATCAAACCCAGGGCCTCAGGCATGCAAGGCAAGCGCTCTACCACTGAGCCACCTTCCCAGCCCCAGTTCCAGCTTTAGGCTGGTTAATTAGAAATAAGAATCACGTAGATTTGCCTGCCCAGGCTGGCTTCAAACTTTAATTCTTTAAATTCTCAGATACCCCAAGTAGCTAGGATTATAGGAGTAAGTCATTGGCATTCAGTGGCTTAAGTGGTACAATACCTGCCTGGCAAGGGTGAGTACCTGAGTTCAAACCCCGTATCACATACATATATTATAAATAAAAAACCACTGATTCTCTCAGGATTTCCATACTTATACAAGGCCTCTCAGTGAAGACTGAGCACACTTCTGTGGAGGTAACATTATAAGGGCCTTAAGTACATCTGAGAAGAGAAGAAAAGAGTAATGATTACAATAAATATAGAAGAAAGCTATAGTGCTATGATGTGATTTTTGGATGGACAACCATTTCACCTTCATGTTCACAAGAAACTGAATATAACATGTAACATACAAGCAGGCATGTAGTATAATGGTTCATAGCATGGGTCTTGACTCCACAGTAGCAATCTGACTTTAAAGAGGTCATTTAAATTTTCTGGACTCAGTTCCTCATGAGGACAGATAAGGAATAACAACTTCAAATTCCTTAGGTTTTTTTTTTGTTTTGTTTTTGTAAGGACTGGAGGAAATACCTAGAAAAGGCTTGGTGTATTAAGAGATATACAATCATTAACTATTTCTATGTTACCAAACTTATTTGACTAAATCCAATTAAGAGACTGCTGTTGTGACATTTAAAAAAAAATCGAACAAGTTTGCACTCCCACCAACAATGCAGTAGGGTTCCCTTTTCGCCACACCCCCTCCAGCATCGGTTGTTGTTAGAGTTCTTGATTATAGCCATTCTAACTGGGGTGAGGTGGTATCTCAATGTTGTTTTGATTTGCATTTCTTTTATGGCTAGAGAAGTTGAGTCTATTGGCCATTGTTATTTCCTCTTCAGAGAAGTTTCTCTTTAAGTCTTTAGCCCACTTATTTATCGGGCAGTCGTTTCTTTGAGGATTTGTTGTTGGGGGCTTTAGTTTTTGAGTTCTAAAAAGACTCCACATAGAGCTCCCCTATGACCTAGCAATTCCACTTTTGGACATTAACCCAAATGATCACAAACAAGGCTATACTAAAGCTACCAGCACAACTATGTTTATTGCAGCATTATTTATCACAGCTAAGATATGAAACCAACCCAGATGCCCCTCAGTAGATGAATGGATCAAGAAAATGTGATATACACACACAGACACACACAGACAGACACACACACACACACACAATGGAATTCTATGCCTCCATCAGAAAGAATGACATCGTCCATGTGTTAGGAAATGGAAAGACTTGGAAAAAATTATATTAAGTGAAGTAAGCCAGGCCCAAAGAAACATAGGTCCCATGGTTTCCCTTATCTGCAGTAACTAGTTTAAGTCTAGGACAAGCAGAAAAAGTCAAAAGCTATGTACATATTACCATATAAGATGATGTGGCTGGGCACCAGTGGCTCACACTAGTAATCCTAGCTACTCAGGAGGTTGAGATCTGAGGATAGCGGTTCAAAGCCAGCCCGGGCAGGAAAGACTGTGAGACTCTTATCTCCAATAAACCACTGAGAAAATCGGAAGTGGTACTGTGGCTCAAGTGGTAGAGTGCTAGCCTTGAGCTGAAGAGCTCAGGGACAACGTCCAGGCCCAGAGTTCAAGCCCCCACGACCAACCAAAAAAAAAAAAGATAATGTTAAGTGAAATGAACCCCAAGATAGAGACAGGACTTGTTTTTTCTTTCTTGCTATTGTTTTTAATGTATTTAAAATTTACTATGTGATTTTTTTTTTGTTTCTTTTGTATGTTCTTCCCCCATGGTATAACCTCTGTTTTCACTGTATTTGATGTTGGTGCCCCGCATCTTTTATATACATTTTTCTAATTTGGGGAGGGGAAAAAAATAACAAAATGCTGAAATAAGGATATAGGTTTACCCATTGTAACAAAGAGATGTACAAGACACTATGTTGAAAACGAACTTTACAATTTGTGGGAGGAGGGGGGAGTTGGGGAGGGAAGAGATGGTAGGGGAAAAACAAAGGAGGAGGTATAACAATGCTCGATAGGAAATGTATTCATTACCTTACTCATGTAACTGTAACCCCTCTGTACACTATTTTTACAATAAAAAACATGAAAAAATAAAAAATTGAGCCTGGTGCTGGTGGCTCACACCTTTAATCCTAGCTACTCATGAGGCTGAGATCTTAGGATCATGGTTTCAAAGCAATCCCAGGCAAGAAAGTCCATTAGAGTCTTATCTTCAATTAATCACTCAAAAACTAGTACTGGAGCTGTGGCTCAAATGGTAGAGCACTAGCCTGGAGCAAAAAGGCTCAGGGACAGCACCCAGGCCCTGAGTTCAAGCTCCACAACAACAAAAAAGTTTTATTAGGCAAAATTCTAGCTAATAACACAGTATATATTATAAATAATGCTAAGCTATAAGGATCATCTTTTTTTTCTTCCTAATATACTACTAAAAATGAATCTAGGTAGAAAAGTCTAAAACTCATTCACCCCAAGTAAAGACTCATTTGAGTTTCTAAAATTTATAGTACTTACAAAACATATTGCCCTTGTTTGGTCTTCTTTTTAATGAACTGAAAAACACTTTAAATGGTTTTGTTTTCACAATATTCATTGAACAACATTAAGGAAGTAAAGACATTAAAAGAAAGTATTAACAATATTAAAATTGTATCATTCTCAACAAATTGATCTATAATTCAACGTACTTCAAATAAAACTCTTAAGGTTCTTTTTTTTTTTTTTTTGGTCAGTTGTGGGGCTTGAACTCTGGGCCTGGGCGCTGTCCCCCAGCTTTTCAGCTCAAGGCTAGCGCTCTACCACTTGAGCCATAGTGTCACTTCTGGCTTTTTCTGCTTATGTGGTGCTATGGAATTGAACCCAGGACCTCATGCATGCAAGGCAAGTACTCTATCACAGAGCCACCTTCCCAGTGCTCTTCCTTTTTTTTTTCCCCAGCAAATCTAAGAAAAGAATGGTGTACATGGGCATTTTTTTTTCTTTTCTTTTCTTTCTTTCCTTTTTTTTTTGCACTGCTGAAGACTAAAGTCTAGGATACTTCCACTGAGAAAATTCCATTTCTTTTATACAGGATTACATTATCCTCATTTTGTCATCAATCTAGTTTACTTATTTAGAGACTGGGCCTTATTATATAGTGCAGACTGACCTCAAACTTTTATTTTCTTTTTCTTAAAAAATTTTTTGTAGCTTTATTTGACACTCACGGGTTAGTTCTCATTCACATTGACTGTACATGGCAACAGGGACATAGATTATGGTTTTTTGGTGAATCTCCACCCTCATATTTTCTGGATAACTACATATGGATCTGATAAGGGACATTCCTTAT